TGTGAATGATTGATAAGTAGGGATGTAAAAATTAATCGAGAATCAATTAATAATCGATTATAACTACTTCAAATGTGAATAGAATAATAAAAATTAATGAATCAATTTCATTGATATCTAATAACTGTAAATTATGTCAATTTAGTTTGATAACTTTTGGTCACAAAAGGAATTGTGATGACATTTTGATTTATTTACACGTTTTATTCTGTTACTAAAACAACGGTTACAGTTTGATACAGGGACAAATTCTAATTTTAAAGAAAAGAAATATTTGGTTATAAAATGGCTACACTTCATTATGTTAAATAAAAAACTTATAAAATGGAAAATATTCTAATAGAATAGGGGCTTAAGTGAATCGTTACGTCCCTATTGATAAGCATTAGTGGTACAAAATGACCAATATTTAAAGGTATTAACACGGTTAGATTGTTGGTCATACATGCTTTAAACATAACTGGTAGAAAGAATTGAAAGTTTGATACAGAAAGATAAAAATAATGAGAAATATTTCTCCAACAATCCCTTCATCCATCCTGATTAAAGCTGTTAAAAACTTAAACAAGAGTCAAAGAGTGAATCTTTGTTTTAATGACTTTTCATTTCAGACCCAGCTCGTCAGTTAAAATCCTATTTCTAAAAATTAAAACTTTGGAGAATTCGGAGGCTGAAGCAGCTGTTTGGACAATTAATGTGTAAGCGAGCCGAACAGAGAAGAGAAGATGTCATCAGAACGTGTCAGCATCAGTTCAGCAGATGGCAGCGACTGATGGATGAGGCGTACCGATCTCTGCTCGCCCTGTCCCTCTGCTGCCCCCCCCCTCCTCCTCATCCTCCTCCTCCTGTGGGGAAACTTTGTGACTGTAATTTTAAAAAATCCAAAACTGAGATGTGCCAGACAAGCTAGGGCACCTCCAACCAAACAGGATCTCTCAGAGCTCCGGCGCTCGGAGATGCTTAGACAAACAGCCAGGGGTAAATCCATCTTTTTGACAGAATCATTTCCAAAAAAGCTCAAAACTCCCAACAGGGCTCCTGGATGCTCTTCAGAGCTGCACGGGCCGGGAGGATATGTGTCAAAGTGTGCGCATGAAGAGCAAAAAGAAACAAGAAACATTCGATGTGGAAGACGTGGCACGGCTTGACCAAACTTMAACTTTATCCCTGGTTTTTTTTAAAGCTCATGGGACAGTTTGTTTTGATCAAAACTTGACTGTACCTTGATTTTTCCTTCATCGCTTTTATTTATTTTTTACATTTTGAATGTGAGCTAGAGGCCTGAATCTGTACAGAAGATGTGTTTTAAGCTTTGGGGAGAACAGCTTCTCTGTTGTTCAGCCTTTCTGTGTATAAATAATTCCAACAAAGACATCTAAAGCTGAAAAAAAAAAACTCAAAGAAAAAAAGAACACTAACCCTTTTTACAAAAGATTTCAGCTAGCTTCACATCTTTTCTTCCAACTTTTATATCTCAGACAACTCCAAAATTAATCACTTTTCTGCTTCATGAGATATTTTGCTAACATACAAGCAGAGTACAATAGTTGAAGACAAAGTTTTGAAACAACAGTATGAGTCGTCTCAGATACTGTCGCACCAAAGTTTAGCTTAATTCCTATAAAACTGACTGAGCTKAGCTGGTTTAATGGTTGCTTACATGTGGAACATTTTATGCTAATGCTGCTAACAATGCTAATGCTTTCCTACGAGACATCAAAAGCATTGGCAACGTTGGACATCATCATCCTGGGACAAAAGCAACCACTATGATGCATCTGCTGCCAACACTGCATCTGCTGCAAACACAGCATCCACTGCTAATGTTGCTAATGCTTTCTTATAAGACATCGAACACGTTGGCAGTGTTAGCATCATCATCCTGTGACAAAAGCAACCACTAACCCTGCATCTGCTGCTAATGCTGCTAAGGTTGCTGAGGCTGCTAATGCTTTCCTACAAGATATCAWATGCGTTAGCAGAGATAGACGTAATCATCCTGTAAGAAAAGCAACAACTAACGCTGGTTCTGCTGCTAATGTTGCTAACGCTGCTAACGTTACTAATGCTGCTAACAATGCTAATACTTTCCTACAAGACACTAAACTTGTAGTTGCAGCGTTGGTAGTGTTAGATGTCATCGTCCTGTGACAAAAGCAACCAATAATGCCGCATCTGCAGCAAATGCTGCTAACGCTGCTAATGTTGCTAATGCTGCTAACAATGCTAATACTTTCCTACAAGACATTAAACTTGTAGTTTCAGCGTTGGTAGTGTTAGATGTCATCGTCCTGTGACAAAAGCAACCAATAATCCTGCATCTGCTGCTAATGCTGCTAAGGTTGCTGAGGCTGCTAATACTTTCCTACAAGATATCAAATGTGTTAGCAGAGATAGACGTAATCATCCTGTAAGAAAAGCAACGCTGGTTCCGCTGCTAATGTTGCTACCGCTGCTAATGCTGCTAATGTTGCAAATGCTGCTAACAATGCTAATACTTTCCTACAAGACATTAAACTTGTAGTTGCAGCGTTGGTAGTGTTAGATGTCATCGTCCTGTGACAAAAGCAACCAATAATGCCGCATCTGCAGCAAATGCTGCTAACACTGCTAATATTGCTAATGCTGCTAACAATGCTAATACTTTCCTACATAACATCAAAGTTGCAGTTGCAACGTTAGCAGCGTTAGATGTTATCATCCTTTTATGGCAGCCATTTTGAACCAGCAGTGTAAAATAAAATAAAAAACACCATAATTAAGTTTTCATCTCCTCAAAAAGTTCCCAGAAAAAAAGGCAGTAACTCCTAACAACAACAAATAAAAATAAAAACTCCGCACCCAAAGCCCTTCCACTTCCACAGAGGAGCAGGAAAAGGTGGGGTTTGGTCCRGTTCTTTGATCCAAGCCATTCGCAGGAAACTAAGTTAATCAGAATCAGCCTCAGCTACCATTTCTGTCTGTCGTGAGACCTAAATTAAACATCACTCTGATTCGGCTGAAATCCCAGGGTGACAGTCAAAAAGAAATCTGCAGCTGCTGTTGGCAGAACAGTCTGCTTCGCTGGAGGGGAAACCGCTCTCAAGTCTCAGGTTCAAATAACCAGAAAACACGGTAACCGTGGCCAAAACCCGATAAATAAATGAACAGCAAAGGTGTGAACAGAAAGCTTTGGTGAAAGAAAATTAAGTTTTTATACCAAGAAGAAAAAAAAATTGCACTTTAAGATTTTTTTTTTGTGTTTCTTCATTTCTTTGTGTGCATGACTGAAATAAATTTGTATTAGTCACTGCTAAAAAGCAAATAACATTTTTTCACGTCTGTGCAGAAGTCAGTCAATTATACAGATCTTGATCTAAAACTTGAGGTATTAAATCCCTTTCAGAATATCTGCTGCAGTTAATCCACTTTAGTCAACATGAAAAACTTGGTCAGTTTTACAGATKTTGACCTAAAATTTGATGTTGCTTTAGTTGAGTGATTTGAAACATGTTTTCTAAGTCTGACAGCATAAGATTGATGATGCTTATTTCAAAACTGCCCCAACAGTCATTTTTTAATGCAGTACCTTAGAGTGGGACGCCAAGTGTAAAATAAAACAGAGGAAAGATTTTCACCAGGATTTGATATTTTGCCCACTGTTCTTACATTTTACTATTTTTTACTAAATGTTAAATATAAATGTTAAATAATAAATGTAAAAATTAAATCCAAATATAAATATGTAAATCTCATGTAAGAAAAAAAAATCCTAAACGTTAAATGCTAAAGTTTACATTTAAGGTTTTCGGAATGGAACGCAGCTGTTGGTGCTCAGCTCTTGTATTGATGTCATCATCCTGAGACAATAGCAATGGCTGCTAATCCTGCTAATTCTGCTAACGCTGCAACCGCTGCTAATGCTGTAACCACTGCTAATGTTGCTAATGCTGCCACTGCTGCTAATTATGCTAACACTGCTAATGCTGCTAAGGCTAACCACCAATGCAAATTATGATAGTGCTGCTTGTTGTAAGAGCTGCATTCGCTGCTAATGTTGCTAACACTGCCACTGCTGCTAATGCTTTCCTACAGCGTTGGAATCGTCAGACGTCATCATCCTGCAACAAAAGCAACCATTAACGCTGCATCCGCTGCTAACGCTGCATCCACTGCTAATGCTGCATCCGCTGCTAATGCTGCATCCGCTGCTAATGCTGCATCCGCTGCTAACGCTGCATCCGCTGCTAATGCTGCTAACACTGCTAATGCTGCTAACGTTGCTAACGCTGTTAACACTGCATCCGCTGCTAATGCTCTAACCACTGCTAATGTTGCTAATGCTGTAACCACTGCTAACGCTGCTAATGCTGCCACTGCTGCTAATTATGATAACACTGCTAATGCTGCTAACGCTAACAACCAATGCTAATTATGATAGTGCTGCTTGTTGTAAGAGCTGCATCCGTTGCTAATGTTGCTAACACTGCCACTGCTGCTAATGCTTTCCTACAAGACATCAAACTTGCAGTTACAGCRTTGGAATCGTCAGACGTCATCATCCTGCAACAAAAGCAACCATTAACGCTGCATCCGYGGCTAACGCTGCRTCCGYGGCTAACGCTGCRTCCGCKGCTAAYGCTGCWWMCGCTGCTAAYGCTGCTAAYGCTGYWWMCGYTGCWWMYGYTGCWWMTGCTGCWWMTGCTGCTAAYGCTTTCCTACAAGACTTCAAACTTGCAGTTGCAGCGTTGGACCTCATCATCCTGCAACAAAAGCAACAGCTAATGCTAGTAATGATGCTAATGTTGCTGAAGATGGCATTTAAAATGTTAATGAAACATGTGACCATTGAAAACAATATGTATAGTGGTCCAGCAGTTTGAAGTGTAGCTCAGACATGGGCCACATGGATGTCTTTAGGGCAGCGTTTTGGTTGTATCAGCATATAAGTAACTACTGTTTATCAGTTAGAATTTATAGATATGATAAAACCACAAAGTTCAGGCCTCAGGCCACCTCACCTGTAGATGGGGTCTTGCATCACCATCATCTTACTTTCATCCCATGTCCACTCTTTCTTCTGTGAAAAAGAAAAAAATGTGTCATTTAGACTGAAAGTGAAATTTGTTAAGAACACAAAGAAAACCCTTTAATTGCACAAAGCCTAAATATAAAACCTGTGATGAAAATGATAATCCCCCCTTCTTTTTATTTACCCATTTGATTAAATCAATCTTTCAGTTTAAGGTCACAATGAAAATGTCAAGCCACGGGCACGCAGGAATTATTCCTATTGATTTGTGTCTCCACAGCAGCTCTTTGTTGACTGGAGTCATTCAGTCGCTCTCATCTCCAGTCCATCAACGCCGCCGTCGTCCTCAGGGATGGAGAGACGGCCGACTGTAACGTTTGACATTTCTCACTTCAAGGACGCAAAGAAAACGGAGAAACCCTCCAGCAATAAAAA